TTTTTCTCCCCAAAGCCCCCTGGTACATAGTTGTATATTCCTCGTTGTGGGTCCTTCTAGTTGTGGCATGTGGGACGCTGCCTCAGCGTGGTTTGGTGAGCAGTGCCATGTCCGCGCCCAGGATTCGAACCAACGAAACACTGGGCCGCCTGCGGCAGAGCACGCGAACTTAACCACTCGGCCATGGGGCCAGCCCCGAATTCAGCTTATTTTGAGCGCACTTGCCTCAGGATTGGGTCACACTAACTAGTTTAAGAGGATGGTGTCTAAAACTAGGGATTCTACCTGCTTGTTAGCAATGGGAATATAACTGTCCTACGGTCCAGATGACTTGTGTTGGCACAGTCAGTGCCAAAACAGGCTCAGAAGATCGTGTGTTAGACATGGGATCCGAATAAGGAAGCTAATGAGGTTAGAGGAATCAGTTGTCTTATGCTCTTAAGCTAAATAGATGGCACCTCTATCTCGCCAGAGGAGGCTCTTGCCTCTCAGGTGGGGAATATTTAAGGCCTGTAGGCCACAACCCCTTAAAATCATCTGGTGATAATGAATACCCTAGTAAAGGGCATCTGCACTTTTAACTGGGAGTACCTGCCACTTCTCCTTGTCTCCTCTCTCCTGACCACAGAGGACAAGTGTCAGTTCCACTACTGGAAACCAAAAATGTTAGTGTTGGAATGCAAAACATCATGCATCTTGTACCCTTTTCCTTATTATGGACTTCATCTGCAGAATCCCTGAGTTTGTAGGAGTTCACAACTCCTACCCTGAAGGATTATTTTATTTTCTGGTTACTTGTGCAGTGTGGGGAGTGGCGGCCATCTCACTACAGTCCCGTGTACTAACAAAAGCAGATATGGATTTGATGGCTTGAAGTGAGAAGAGAGAAGAAAAAGACTTGAGAAAGATTGAAGCTGACTGTGATTAGTTTCTGCAGCTAGCACTGAAGGCAGCTAGCTGCTTTGACTTGCAAATCATATTGTAGGTTGGTTTCTTGGATGGAAAAGCTTTGTAATTATAGCCTATAGAAGCTGTAGACCAGGAAGAGAAAAAAATTCCGTGGAGTTGTAGGGGAGGAAAAAGAATTTTCCCTCTACCCTTCTGAGTTCTTAGCTGAGACCCCTGTAAGAAAAACAGGTTCACAACAGGTTTATTGACACATATACCTCGTGTGAATGTGGGAGATACCCAGGGAAAAATGAGTCACTCCCTGAAGTGGTTTAGAATTCAGGATTATATACCATCTTAATAGGGAAAGAGAAGGGGGATGTACTCTTAGGGGAGAGTAAAGGATGTCTAGGAAAGGTGAGTGGGCCCTTAGAAGAATAGATGGGAGGTATGATAGTTTGTAACCAAGTCTGTATGAGTATGGTGTTGACTTCTAGCCTCCTCTCCTGTGACATGTCAGTCTTCCCTGGTTGAGGAAACTTCCAGAGAGGGGATTTATGACAACTGCGTTCCTTTTGGAGGACCTGTCTTTAGGCAGGTTAGGGGAATTCAGAGAAAGCCTCTCCCTGCATTTGCTGTTTTTCAGATACCTTCAGCTCAAAATAATCAAAATACTAATGTGGCATGTTTTGGGCGTATGTGTCTTGTTACCTTCAAGGTGATGTAGGTTGGAATAACTATGGTCGTGGGTGCGCCATTGCTGTTTTCGTCTTGTTTCCTTACAGTGGAGTCCCAACCTTGGGCTGGGTGTTGATTTACCAACAGTAAGATGTACGAGCTGATAGAGCTACTTGGTTGAATCAAGAGAAAAAATCATGTAACATCTCTTCCTGTAGTCTCTCCTGAGAATATGTTCCTTTCCATCCCATAGTTCTTCTTTAGGCTGTTGGCTTTTAAATTCGGTGTCAGGATGGCTGCATGAGAACCGATTAGGGAGTTGTTTAAAATAGGGATCCCAAGATTCTCATTCGGTGAGTATGAAGGAGGGGCCCAGGAGTCTGCATTTTTGTAAAGCTCTCTATACTGAATTCAGATGTGCAGTCAGGTTTGGGAGACACTCATAGATTATTGCCACGAGGCTACGATAGTACCCCTTTTACTTTCTGATTCTTTCTCTTCTAATCCACTGTATATCCCCGTTCCCAGGGTGGCATTAAAAACATACACACATACGTGCAGGCACACAGGCCTGTTAATATCATTGTCCTGAACAAAAGCTTTTGACAATTTCCTATAGAATGAATATGATAATCTCTTATGAGTGACTTCCCTGAGGGTGAAGCCTATAAAACGGTTAGTAAGAGCCTTCCATGTGATAGACCATTTATCCATATTTAGAAGATTTCATACCCATGAATGAGGAAAGTGAGACTTCGGTAAATAAAGTTGAGTTTCTCGTTTACAGATACCTTCTTGTATGGATGGCTACATTTACTCAGCTTCTACAAGTTCAGAGGGTCTTTTATTTTTCATACTGTACTACACGAGTTAATGAAAATTTCCATTGTTAAGCATTTGTTATGATTCAGGCATTAGAATAAGTGATCTGCATGCACTGTTTCATTTAATTCTTCCAATACGTGGTTCCACGAGGTAGGTGAGGATACCTCCAAGTTGCAGTTAGTAAACCGAGGGTCTGGAATTGTAAGAGATTTACCCAGGCACTTAGGACTTAAATGTTGGAGCTGAAATTTGAAACCAGGTTTGTTTGATTCCAAGGCTTGTGCTCAATGAAGTTACTGTTTGATCTTTTCTCTGTCTCTTTTCTTTTTTTTTGTTCTTGGCCACTGAATATCAGTATAAAAAAACAAAAGGTCAATTCCATTTCTTACTAGTTTTTCAAAAGAAGAATAGGATTTCTTAAGAGTTTGGTAAAACATGCATGTTCTTTTCTTCCTTTTTTCTTCCTGACAGATTTTACATAAGAAAATGATAGCTTTTTCTGTCTTTTAACCATAGTTTTAGAAAAATGTGAATCCGAGGGAAGAAAGCAGAAGCCATGCCACAGTTGGGAAGGCGCTGGTCAGAGAACGCTTGATGACTTTGGGAATATGACTTTCTTTCTGCATTGCTTATAGAATGTTTGAGGCCCCTGTGTACCAGTGGCTTTCTTTTTCACATGTCCCCAAATGGTGAGAGATGAGAGGCCTTGGAGCTTGAAAAGAACCAGTATATGCCTCTCTCTTTTTAAAAAATGTCCCTGTAAATTATAATACCCTGCCTAGGAAAGGCATGGGGTAAATCATGGCCGGAGAAGTTCTGTTTGCTAACTTCTAGGAAAACTTCTAGGGTATCAGGTATTGGTCAGCACATTAGAAAACAGGTCCCCCTACACTTGTCGTTTCATTCTCAGCCAGTATGAAGAAGCTGGTGGCAATGATAAAATGTCATGATCAGAGCACAGATAGATCTGGGTATAGGTCTATAGCATGTAGATATAGGGATAGATAGAAAATAAAAAGCAACACTTTTTATTCTTTATTCTTGGTGCCACTAAGAAAACTTGTTCTATTATAGGATTGAAATGAGGAGAAGTTTGTTCAACCACAGGGATGCTCTTTTTTAATATATCTCTTTCCTACCGCGAGGGTACAGATGTAGCCCACTTACAGGTAGACAGTTGTTTTGGTAGCATTTGTGAATCTTGCATTGTGAAAGATGTTGCCATGGTCACCCCTCATAAATCATCTAGATTTACGTGAAAGCTTTGATGAGGTCAGTAGTCAACTCCTTGAGAACTACAACCGTCTTAATAATTTCCTGCATCTCTAATACTGAACATAGAGGTATTACATAGTAGGTGTTTGTTTACCAGTTGGCTCAGTTTTACAGCAAGTTGATCAACTCTTTGAGCCTCTGTTATCATATATAGCTGTGCTGTTGATCCATGTTCAGAATCTCTGAATACTCTGTACAACCTGTGTGACCGACTCATCGGCCCAGCCCTCTCTGCATCTTTAGTTCTGATTTGTTAATTGCTTGAACAAATGCTGGTTACTAATTAAGACATAGAATATGACTAGGATGATGGAATAGAAAACATTTACTCAAGTTACTGTTGAGCTTTTTGGAGGGTAGGGTTAAAGTTCTGATTGACCTTGAATATAATAAACACAAATAAGCAGAATTAAGATCGTTAGGGAAGTACAACTTTTGGAAAACTAAATATAACATGGGGACTTTGTATATGTAAGTTTGGGTGGAGATGTAGGGGACACTCATTGTGAGTCAGCAATAGACTGCTTTATTTTCTTAATTATTGGGCACGAGTGGCCAGTTAACCACAGGAGCATAACATGTGGGAACTGCTGGGTAACGTTTCCAAAATACTTAGCATTAGTCAGACACTTTTTTAGAATTCTGTGTCCACTTTGGCTGAAAGAAAATGTGGAGAATTTGGCAAGGGCCCAGAGCATGGCTAGATGCAGAGGAGCACTGGAAAATAGGACCCATTGAAAGAGGCTAATAAATAAGGATTAATTACTTAGCCTGATCCAAAGCAGCCGAAGGGTGATTAAATTAATGGTCTTCTGTTGCATGTATAGTTATTATGTAGAAGATAGAATTATTTCCACTTTAAGTAGAATTAGGAAAATGGATTTACACTACAGTTAAAGGAGATTTTGAAGTTGCATAAAGAATTTCTTGACTTTAGGGGTTGTTGGACGGTGGAAAGACTTCTCAACTGGAAATGTGAAATTGTGTTCCTTACAGAATAGGAATGGGAGTGGGTAGTGCTTGCTAGCTTGAATTAGGTACACTTGGGGTAGAGATTGGCAAACTTTCTAGATCCCATTTCATGGTACTCATCTCACATTGTGTTGGACATTTTTCAGGGAGTAAATCAGTATTCCCTTTTTGTTTGTATTGTTTCATAGTTAATACAAATGTGAAGACCTTGCTTTTAATGATTCTGTAATGCATTTCAAGCAGGCGGGAGGTTAAACTGCAAATTGAATATTACGTCACCTGCGGATCAACTTGCTTTTCCTTCTTATTTGGACCCTTACAATATTGTCAATTCCAACTTGCCTTTTCTTTTTCTTCTTTAGAAAATTCTCTGCGTGCCCTCCTCGCTTGTTCTACAATGAGCGCCAAATCTGCCATCAGTAAGGAAATTTTTGCACCTCTTGATGAAAGGATGCTGGGAGCTGTCCAAGTCAAGAGGAGGACAAAGAAAAAGATTCCTTTCTTGGCAACTGGGGGTCAAGGCGAATACTTAACTTATATCTGCCTGTCAGGTAATGAAAACCAGATATTAATATTATTAAAACAACTTCTATTTGAAAACAGTTAATTCTAAGGTCTCTAAGAGGGTTATGTACCCAGCTTTTGTACATGTCTGCTCTTCCCCTCCTGTATCCTGTTTCTCTGTTGTCTTCTCTGATCCTAATTTACCTCTACTTTTGAGGTTGCTTTGTAAGAGTAAGGTAATGAAGTCCAATTTTAATGTATTTTCCAGTTCATTAAGAGCTTCTCTAGCGGGTTTGACAGTCACATTTGTTTGTCTGTACTTTCCTTCACTAGGATGTTGACAGAAACTGGGCTGTCCTCGGCGATTTTTGTTTTAGAGTAATGCCTAGTATTTGGATAATTGTCATTACCAGCAGCCTGAGTTTCGTGGGCTTTCTTTTTCTCAACAGTTGCCAATAATCAGTTATAGTTTGTCTCAAGACAAATATCAACACCTAATGGAATGTGAGAAAGTAGCCTCAGCTCACAAGTCACTGCTTTGCTCACAGCCGTTCCTTCTCAGGAAGAACATCTGTTTTATTAAAGCTTAGAATTTTGCTGGATTATTTTTTCTCTTTCTCTTTGTGATTGTAGGAGATCTGTGGGATTTGCTGTAGATTCATACCAAGTTTCCTGAGAGAAAACTTGGATAAGTTTTCCGTGGAGCTATGGGTGACGCTAATCTGAACAGCTGGGGCGTTTGTAATATTCTTGATAATATTTCCTGTAACTAGGCAATGGAAGAACTAAGCTCACCTTCATTCATCTTTTTTTTGTTTCCTTCAATTGGGGCTTGGAAAGAAAATTTTGTTTTTGGACCCATTTTTAGCTTTTAAAAAAATTAAGCCTCTGATCATTGAAGTTTATCAGAATTTATCTCAGTGTGAAGATAGCTTTTTTCCAGAAAGAACACATAAAGATAGTAATAAGACTGTATCTTGGTTTAAAATGACATGAGAACATAGCCCTTTGGTAAGAAAGCCTTTTCAGTGGTTACAAGAAAGCTTTTATTTAAATGAATATGAGAGAAGCGACTTTGAAATATTGGTCTCTCTTTCTTAACTCCAAATAGAATTAGGTTGGGGCCGGCCCGGTGGCACAGCGCATAAGTGTGCACGTTCCACTTCGGCGGCCTGGGGTTCGCAGGCCCGGATCCTGGGTGCGGACATGGCACCACTTGGCAAAAGCCATGCTGTGGTAGGCTTCCCACATATAAAGTAGAGGAAGATGGGCACGGATGTTAGCTCAGGGCCAGTCTTCCTCAGCAAAAAGAGGAGGATTGGCAGCAGATGTTAGCTCAAGGCTAATCTTCCTCCAAGAAAAAAAAAAAAAAAAGAATTAGGTTAAAAATGTTGGAGGACATTTCCATCCCTTTAGTGTACCAGGCAGTGCTTGGCATGTAATAGGGACTCAATTAATTTCTAATGACTGAGTGAAAGAAAGAAGTAGCTTTTCCTAAGACCTTCCTAGTATTTTCTGAATGAGATTCATGTCTTTAAAATATTTTCATCTTCCTAAGTTTAGATTCTAGACTTTTTGTTTTTACGAAGATTAGCCCTGAGCTAACTACTGCTAGTTCTCCTCTTTTTTGCTGAGGAAGACTGGCCCTGAGCTAACATCCATGCCCATCTTCCTCTACTTTATATGTGGGAAGCCTACCACAGCATGGCTTTTGCCAAGCGGTGCCGTGTCCGCAGCCAGGATCTGAACCGGCGAACCTCAGGCGGGCGAGAAGTGGAACGTGTGAATTTAACCGCTGCGCCACTGGGCCAGCCCTAGATTCTAGAATTTTTGCTTGCACCAATAGTGAATAGAATGCATTACAATAAATTTTGTGTTTGAGCTGCATGGAACATGAGCTGAGCATGGACACACAGTGATTCTAATTTTGTTAAGCTCTATTAATGTTGTATGGAGATTTCTTGTAGATGAGTAGTTGAAGAAAAGGTGGTGGTTTAGAAGTCCCTAGAATTTTGCCCAATATATAACTATAACTGAAAAAGAGGGCAGTTTTGTTTGCATTTTAGGTATATGCTATTGTCAGTCTATTTCTTTTTTTTTTTCTTTTTTATTAAGGTAACACTGATTTATAGCAGTGTACAAATTTCAGGTATACATGTTTATATTTTGCCTTCTGGATAAACTACATCGTGTCCCCCACCAAAAGTCTGGTTGCCATCCATCACCATACTCATGTGCCCCTTTACCCTTTTCACCCTCCTGCCACCCTTCTTCCCCCCTATTTCTGATCATGAAGTCTGCAAGAGTGATACGGGGACTCTAACTGCCTCATCTCAGTGAAGTAACGTAAGCATTTCCCTGCCATGGAAGATAATGACCTGAGACTTCCTGGGACACTGTATTTCCTCCAAGACCTTCAGGTTTAAAGTTGGAAACTATGAGAATTTCTTTTTTGTTGCGTTCTAATGGAGGAGAGGCTTTTGTTCTGAAAGTCTTCATCCTTTTCATAGATTTGAACTTTGATACGATGGGTGGGTAAAGTAGATCTGACATTTAAGCAGATGATTTAATGGAAATTGGGGCAGGAGAAGGCCAGGCAACTTGGACACTCAAGTTGTTTGCATTTTGATTTTTCTTATGATTGAGAAAGAAGCAGCAACCTTTATTTTCTAACTTATGTGAAGCTTAGAGGCGTATCAGTCACATCTCTGATAAGGTCCTGTTTTAATTAGAAGTAAATCATTAGTAAATATTTATAAAGTCCTTTTTTACGTGCTGAGTACTCTTAGTGCTGGGGGCTCGGAAAAACTCACGAAGCTTACCTTGTTTGGTGGGGAAGGAGCAGTAGACATTAATAAGTTACTTAATAATCGTAAACACGATTATTAACTCTGAAAGATTAAAAGGGAAAAATATAGTGATGTGAAAGTATGCGTGAGGAGAATTTGGCCTGGTTGGGAGAACCCAGAGCTGTGTGGAGAGTAGGGCCTCACTGGTTCTGAAAAGTGGCTGGGCTGGGTGCAGAGGGCATTCCAGGCAGGGGAGCGGCAGCTTCATTCACAGACTGCGGTGGTGATTCTGAGTTCCTCCTCCTGTGCAGTCGAAGGATGACTTCTTTGTAGCTCAGCTCACATAGGAGGCTGTCAAGTGAACGCGGAGCCCTGGGAGCACAGCCTCTTTCCTGCTGTTAATGTGAACCACCTATGCTTTCTGGGAGGCCAGGTTCTTTAACTCTTTTGGTTTGGTTGAGTAAAACCAGCTATCAATTTTGAACACGCAAAATTTGTCTAAATTAGGGCAATGTCTACAAAGAATTTTTAACCACTTTTGAAACAAGATAAAGAGTAAAACTTTTTTTTAAAAAAGGAAGATATCATAGCTTTAAAATCTTTCCAACATATACATGCAAGCATGGATGTTTTATATATCCACTGTCTTTTACTGATGTTTCTTTGTGTGAATTTTTTTCCCCTAAGTGTCTGGCGGAATTTATAATCTAAGAGATTGAGGCCTGTGATCATAAGACTTAGTATATTCAGAGAGGATTGTATATCCTCTGGAGGAATCCGAAAAGGTGCTGGAGCAGGGGAAATAAGATGATCTTTCTTTGGTTATTTAGCTATGACTGTGTAAGGAAAGAATCTCTCGAGTTCATTCATGGAGCCTGGGGATAAAATGTGAATGTTTCTCATTGGACTTCCTGAATGGCTTCTTGAGTGGTGCAAATGCTTATGTACTGACATGCTCCTGTTGATCAGCATTCTTAAAGCACTGATTTCCACTTTCTTTTTGGCAATGGCTAAAATTAAAAAGACTGACAATATCAAGTGCTGACAAACATGGAGCAATTTGACCTCTCATTCTTTGCTGATGGGAATGTAAAAATGGCATAACTGCTTCGGTAAACAACTTGACAATTTTTTATAAAGTCAAGCCTGCACTTATGACTCAGCAACTCTGTTCCTAGGCATTTACCCAAAAGAAATAAAAACATATGTCCACATAAAGACATATACATAGAGGTTCATACCAGTCTTACTTATAATAACCAAAAATCAGAACTCAAATGTCCATCTACGTGTGAATAAATAATTTTATATGTCTGCAGAACTACCAATATGTGCAGCAACATGGATGAATCTCAAAAAGCCTTGTGTTGTGTGAAAAACCAGACAGAAAAGACTTGATTTTATTTATATGAAATTCTAGGATGGGCAAACTTAAGCCATAGTGACGGAAATCGGGTTGGTGATAGACAGGGCCTGGGGTTGGGGACTGACTGTGGAGGGGCGTGGAGGAATTTTTTGCAATGGTGTAAGTGTTCTATGTGTTGATTGCAGTGGGAGTTACTTGGTTGTATACATTTTTCACAACTCATCAAACCGCACACTTCAAATGGATGCATTTCATTATATGTAAATATATCTCAGTAAAATTGATTTTTAAAAAATGTCTTACAGAGTTACTAGTGAGATGATTGTAAGACTTTATTAACCTCTTTATCTCAATCTGCCCTGTAAGGTGGACAGAAACTAGGCCTCTGCTTAATAGTATGAGAAGTTATCCTAGATGGCCTTTCTGAGGTCTTAGACAGAAGCAGCTGTGTATCATGTAAACTTGTGCTTCTGTGTGATCTCTGTGTCGGTGTGTTCCTAGTTTCTTATAGCACTCGGTGCAGTGCTGAGTATATGCACAATAGATGCTTAAAGGGAAGATACTATTTAATTTATGGATTATTACATACCTGATGATAGTGTAGACTTTATTTACAACTTAGAACTGTTAACTCATTCAAAGTGTAAATCAAGTCCTGCCCACGACAGTTTCTACTGTTGGTTGCCCCCTCTGGGTATTTGGGTCTGTAAAACTAAACTAGAAACATGCTAGGAAGTTAAAATCAGTTTGTTATTAGAGGCTAGTTACCTTCTGAACATTCTGTAATTTCCTGTTTAAAATCTGTTTTCCTGATCCTGTTTTAATTCAGTATGCATAATGTATAATGCTAGCCTTCATGGCCATAAATGGATAAAAATCTTTCCTTGGCTGT